ATCTCCGTAGATCCTCATAGAGTGCAGGGATGCTGGGTACCATTATCCTTCGAGGACCAAAGAACGAACGAAAAGATTTTCCACTTCGGCATCCCTTCTCGAACCTCCGATAACTCCCCAGACTCTACGCGACCTTCGTAATAATTCGTACCAGAAATTCTCTCGCTCTTTTACCATCCCGATGACGTTCATCATTCTATATTCGCTTATCTGTTTTTCATAAGGGGATGACGAGGAGCCGCCGGGATGAATGTGACGCCGGCGGAACGTCGCGGCTTCCGAGCAAAAACCACGACGCCCGTTCGCGTGGCACTTTGTACGCAGTCGTAGCCACTTCACGCACACGTATACGTATACTTACTGCTGATACGTTCCCTTAGACGTAGCCTCTCTCTCCCTCTCTCTCTCTCTCTCTCTCTCTCCTTCCTCATACCTATCTCTATCTGTTCTTCCTTCTTTATCCCACCACTTACATTTATCTATAATACGCACCATCCAGCCGCTTTCTGACATCGACGTGTCCAAGATACGTAACGCGGAATGACGAAGTGGTGCGCACGACCGATAAGCCGTCAGCTTCTACGTTAAACTTGCGCGCGTGTTAAAAGGAAAACAAGCGTTGATGCCTCGAGATACGTCGAGCGGGGAAACACTGGTGGAGTAAAGAAAAGATGAGAAAGAGATAGAGCTATAGAGAGTCACGGAGGGGCGAGGGGAGGGTGGTATGCCGTACCATTAGATTAGTGAAGCACGTGCAAATATAGGTAATTATGCAAAACAAATATGTACCGATTATAATTTTGTGTGCACACGCATAAGTGCAATTGCCGTTAATTATTATTACAATGTAATTAAGAAGTATCGGCCGAAGGTTGCTACTACGTCTCAGCGTGGTTTTACTCCGAGATCGTTTAAAGATCTTTGGGATTAGATTTTACGACTCGCGTCTGCGGTGCGAATAGTGCGCTTGCACTTTTGCCGGGATTCTCGTGCCCGTAAAGTATCGTCGGATCCTCGGAGCTTCAATCGTCAACGGAATGTCATGGAGAGTCAGCAGCGGCGTCGTTCGGTCACGACTGACGACTCTCTTTACGATCATTAGGTCTACCTGGGCTAGTCGGGCTAGTCGGGCTAGTCGGGCTAGTCGGGCTAGTCGACAGATGCACCAGGCGTTCGCTAATTTACTCGTGGAAATAACGAATTGAACTACGCAGGCGTAATTCGACGCGGTCGTTAGCCAATGCGAGTCGCCAGGAATCCGAGAAAGAAATGTGCGTGCTAACGCGCGTGCCTAATATATTTGTACAGTGCGTAAGGGTACCGCGTATGTATACATGCCATGGCGCAGTGTCCCGCCAGGGGTAGTGTGGACGTTTTTACGTGGATTCGTTACGACCGACCCACAACCCGGAACCCGGGACAGCATTGATGTCTACCGATTTCCCATGATTTGTCGCAATTCGTTACGCCTGTTTTTGAAAACACACAGGGGCTTCTGCCATTGTCACTGGACACCAGGTGATTCCTCTTCTTCCTCCCTCTCCTCCTAGGACTCCGAGCACACGCCCGTCCGTGGGCCAAATTTTCGTGTCCTGAATCACGTCCTGACAAAAGTAGTAAATTTCGTGGTTTTCTTCAATGGAGACGTCGGTCTGTTTCTCTATCAGTATTTCGCAGCGGTTCTCAATCGGTAGATTTCATTCGTACGATTATATAAATTCGGATAATTTCGTGTCCATTGACAAGTAATACACTTTTTTTTTGTATCGATAAATCGCACGAGCTTGATTTTCTTTTTTATGCGTTTTTTTTTTTTTTCATTTAGTGGAAATTTTTTTTGTTTACTTACAATATTCCTAATCGACCGCGTCGTATTTACGAGCTGCTTAAGCCATCTGAGAACCTTTGACCGGCGGTAGCCGCGTTTTTCATGCGTCGGCCTATTCAAGTGTTGGCAGTTTTTCACACCACAGGCGACAATCCCCACTAAATCCCCTTAGATGAGTCCCCACGTGCCCAGGGTGTCATCCGGATTCACCATTCCCCATGCTGATCTCGTGCGGTGACCAGTCACGGACGTTTTTTCGTACGGGCTGCGGCTCTAGTCACTACTTTACTAGTCATTTGCATCGGCAAGGAGGGACACGATCGGATCGTTGTGTTTCTTCCGATAATCGAATCGGCAAGACAGAAACGAATAGCACGTGGCGTGATTAATAAATTTTGAAAAAATCATCAGACTCAAGCGTTTTACGCGAAACAAATATTCTATGGTGATAACGTTTTCATTATCGGCGACGAGTCGTGCACTGGTGTTTATTACTGGCGATTACTCAGTTTCACTAAAAAAAAAAACTTGCGCAAGTGTCATGAACGAGATGAAAAGAAGACAGTGCATCTGACACGTCACAGTGACATTCCTGGAAATAACAACAACAACATAGCCAAATTGTCGCGATAACGGTCCGAGTCGTAACACATATGACCCCTGATGACGAAGAGGGAGGGAGAGAGCAGTGCGATTTAATTAATTTTTATCAATTTATATCGGGTGGCAAACTTGGAAAGGATGACGGCTACAGGCCCCTAAGGCCGCCGCACGAGATTCTCAGCTATGAAATATATACCTGGGTAAGTGTCGTCGAGTGTGAATCCGGCCTAATTTTCAATATTTTTTAACCAGCCGCTGTATATCCACACATACGTCATATATTATAAATATAAATATCGTATCAATAGGTAAATGCAATAACGCTCTCATAACTTGATATACGATTACGCAACGATCCGCACGGGCTTCACGTTTAGATACGTCTCGAATAAAAACTCGACAGTCGTTTCCACGAGGACGACTCGAGCCGCTCACCTAATTACGCTACGCCTGTAATTAAAAGGACCGGAGACGACTTTCTCGTTAGCGGCAGGTTCCCTTTCCTGATCCGGCAGAAGGTAATTTTCGGCAGTTCTCCGGTTGCAGCCTCTCTCCATTTTTCTCTCACGTCTCGTCCCCCTCGCCTCTCTCCCTCGCTCTTATTAGACCTACCCACTCCCTGCCGAGGAGCCCCTGACAACTCGCTGCAATTAAGTCTCGAAACCCGAGCCGCGATTACTCTGCACTGCAGCGAGGATGCATTTTAATGCATCCTCGCGCGCGCGAGAATGATGCATACTCGAGTAAACACGCTGCCCGCGTTCTCGCTATCTGTCTCCTAGGGACCCTATAAAAAGTCACTATACAAGAAGACAGACACAGAAACCAAGTTTCGCCAACTTCCACTCCGGTCGCTTACGTACGCCGTGCAAGGGTACGCCGGGCTATCGGCCACGTAATTTTCTGCTCTATCAAGTTACAAAGCACGATTAACCAGCGATCGTTTCGCTGCAGGTGAGAAGTCGTGTATGCTGGATGCACGTTCGAACCTCGGTTAACGCTACTATATGCGCATACGTATATTTACATGTATATCTATATACAGCAAGCCGGACCGATAACCAGGGAAATTAAAAGCGAACGGCTAATGAATGTATTCCCCTGAGCCAAGAGAGTCACCTGTGCACGGGGTAAGGCGATATTCGCATTGCGCAAGGATAACGCGGTGCACCGCAGTATACAGCTTACTTGCAACTGGGTTATTACTTACGATTCCACAATCACCATAGCGACTCTTGTTGTACGATAATACGCAGCGAACAACCAAGATGCCGTACGTAGTCTGTGGTAGTAAAGGTAGCTGCGCGCCTAATAAAAAGATAGGCTGCAGTTCGCCATTATATATAGAATACATATACCCAGTGTCCTTCGAACAAGCAATGGCCTCGAGGTTGGCACGTGCCACTAGGATATCGGATACACGGCACACCGGAGGATCGCCTCTTCGGTGTCTCTTTACTCCAAAAGACACCGACGTCCCGATGACGCTCGAGCGAGGTCCCGTGCGGGACGTCCGGGCTCCTACCGACGTCTCGTCAGCCTTAGAGATATTAATATTAACATTCACGAATACCGATGCTATCGCACGGGATATTAAGCCAACCTGGGATCCTACGTGGTAATGGGCTAGTTGTAATTTGTCCCTCCTAGGGTAATTACCTTCTGACTCTCGTTACATAACGCGCGCGATAACCCATCGACTGTCCTACGTCATCTCCTTAAAATCTTCTTTTTTTTTCACCTTCCTTTTTTTGTCTGCTTATTTCATCTCGACTCGCACCGTGTATTACGATTCGTTAAGGCCACTCTCATCGGCTGGATTCTCTACCTTCGTTAGGACGAGAAGGACATCTGATACCTCGTTATCGCCGTTTCTTAAAGGTGGCTCTTATTTAGTTGCGTTATAACGTCCATGTGTTTCTATATACCAAACGACTGGTACTCCGCATGAGTTTTGTCAGTGTCGGTGCTACCGAGTCTGTATGCTTTTTTATAATAATTTTGTATACGTAGCTGTACGGATATACGGAGGTTGGTATATAAATCCAACCTGACTATGGAGATCCTGCTTGGTTTTCAATGATATCTCGAATTCAAGATATTCTTGCTACCGCATACGCGAGAAAGCGAATGGTCACGTATCGCGTCATCCTTTGGCGTCTGGTCGAAGCGTTTTCGATATACAATTTACATACGTATATGTATATATACGTAAGAGGTGGGTACGACATATGCAGGCTCGTGTGCGAGAGATTTCTGCGGGCGTCAGCCTGGGAATTGGCGTTTTGCCGGCTCATGAAAGATTCACGAGCGTGTCGGGCTCGTTCCGATAAAACAAACATAATTCGCGAATTAAGATTTCATTGTGCCGATAATGCAGTCTTTTATAACAGCTAAACTCAAGCGTGACCACCCGCGTGAATTTACAAACTTTCTAACGCGATTATTTATTCTAGTTCTGAATCCGATTATCATTTTTTATTATTATATACATATGTATACTCATATCGCGTAAGGTATGTACACGGTGCGTCAATTAATTATTGAAATTTATTATTCTGTGTTGCAGGTTACCACAGCTTGCCGTCTTAGCGAAGATTTTGTGCCTCCTGATGGTAAGTTTTGTAATTTCATACTTTTTTTTTTTTTTTTTTTTTTTTTTTTTTTTTTTTTTTTTTTTTTTTTTTTTTTTTTTTTTTTTTTTTTTTTTTTTTTCATTTTATTTTATTATCACGTACGTACTAAGCTCGTACGTTAAAGCGTACATGTGTGCCATGTAATTTCTACTGTATCACGGGTGGCCTGGAGGGTGACTGGGTCAGATCTGAGATACGGATAGTACAGAGAAGCCGACACGGCAAGATCGCGTGCAAGAGTCATCCGTGCAAGACGTGACGCTGCGATTACATTGGCGTGTACCAACCTGCCATAGATTAATGATCGGTGCTTCCGATTTATATTAGCTCGGAGGAGCATTGGGGATACCGAAAAAAAACCAGTAGGAAGAAAAAGTATAGGAGTCAATGTGAAGTTAACAGAATTTAATTTTGGGCCTGGTGTGATAAGGATAAGGGAAAAAAAAATTCATTTTTTTTTTGTTTAGTAATGAGAGTTCACCGAGGACGTCAATTTCAAATCTCACTGTAATTTCCCGCCGATATAGGCTAGGAAGCTGGCGCAGGCAGGACCGTGATTCGAATCGTATTTAAATGAGATTTATACATCCTCCCGCTGCTCGAGTCGTGCAATAATGATCGAGAGTGCAATAAATAATTAAACAGGTAGCCGGGACTGGCGATAAATTCAGATGTTATTCAGGCTCGCCTTGCGCAGTGTCCGCCGCGCGAAACTTCCGCGTGCCTATTACAGCGCGCTCGTATTTCGTTACTGGTTGGTTGGTACCGATATACGTGGTTTTCTTTCTTTTGTCTCGATTTTAATTTTTTTTTTTTTTTCGTTTTCACTCATATTTTTTTTTTACGTTCACGGCCTCTCTTGGTACGAATGGTAAATTAAGGACTGGACTGCACATCCCGATGTGTTCTTACACGCGTAATTAGAGTCCTGCGTCGTCCTCTTGCCACTTTCCTGACCTCGATAACACGACCCTGGACGACATCACCCTCTCGCTTTACATTTGCAACATTGTCAACCGGCTCGTAAAGCCCTAAAGCGGCATTGTAAACGTTATTAAAGAAAAAGTGGCCGCTCTGCTTCTTCTGGTTAACATAATTTTCGCATAAGCTGTCCAATTCGAATTTTCCGTTTCCTTATATACGCATACGTACAGCACGGCATCCTTCCCTATTGAGATTTCTTTGATTTCGTTTAATGGGCAATTTCGCATTGGGAGATACAGCATTCCTGCTAGCGGATCTCTTGACATTCGCGAATACATGGAATCCGAATTGAACTGTAGTCGTATACGCGTAAGGCACTGTTGGGTTACAGGATAAAGGTGCTGCGGCGTCCTCGTTCGATTTACAAGACCCTTTTGCTCCTACGTCCTTTTCTTGAATTGCTTCTAGATTAGAAAAGTACAATTTGGCTGGGATTATTTTTAATAATTTCCTTTTCCTTTCAGGTGGTGATGTGCGGGGCGGTGCCGGCAATGGTGCGCTCCGTGAGTCTCTATTCGACTTGCAGCAGCGGCAATGTTACCGTGATCGGCCGCGCGGTCAAGGCAGTAGGGCGCGACGACAACAACGCACCCTTTCGTAAGTGCGACGTATTATTATTTCTGAATGATTGTACGACAGTGGAATGAAATTTTAATTATTATAAAAGTAGTGGCAATTGAAACGTAATAAATAAATAATCATCGATACTTCCACCCTGGCGAATGGCTCCGAGCATTAAAGTATCTAATTTATGGTTATCTGTCATCGACCCTTCTCTTTCCGAGTCCCTTATCTAAGCGGCGAAACTTTTTCCTTTCTACCGAAACATATTATATTTATGAACTAATAACTCGAGACTATCTAAACTATACACGGCAATGGCCGTCGGCGGTCGGTTCGACGATTTCAAAAAATCAATCCTGGTACACAGTTGCGTGCACAGCGAAGGTCCGATATACCAATGGGGTTGCTTGCTTATGGAACTTTTAAGGAGTAGGCAGTAGAGAGAGAGAGAGAGAGAGAGAGACAAGCCTGATGAGTTACAGCGTCTCGCATGCGTCTCGGCGAATTGTTTTCGACTAGACTTTTCTTTATCTTGTATTGGCTCTATCGATAAAGATGCTCGTTTTCCGGCTTATTTATTGCCAAACAGTCCGCCGCCGGCTTATGGACAGCAGCCAGCCGGATTTTACGATCTCGATTTACTTTTACATGCGACGCCGTGAGGCGCGACATCTTTTACGCTCTTTGCATATGTCGTATATATACTGTAACCTTACTCGCACGATACGGTTCTCCGGATCGTGCCAAAAAGGCGGGTTCGAGCCAGAATCGACTGTTAGGAATTTAGGAAAAATATCAGGTGGAACGAATGAAAGTGAGATTTTGTTTTACAAATTTCAAAATAAAAATATATTGTCCTGCAACGGAATACAAGCAATGTTAGTGCAGGTCCAGCCTAGAGACTGCTGGATGTTAGTAAGCGAAGAATAGATATAAACGCAGGCGGAAAGTAAGAATGATTATAAATGAGATATACAAATGATTAGTGCTCGGAAAGTAAATTGTATAAATATGATTGTAAGACGCGGTTCACCTACCCGATATGTCTGACGGGAACGGAAATAATAGGTGTGTCTACTCTCGTGTGATTCTATTTTGACTCTAATTGTTTCTCTATAAATAAAATATGGAATCGTGTCTGAAAGCAGCCTCCGACCAGCGGAATTTGATTACAGAGTTGACTCGTTAAAATATAAGTGTCGTGCTGTTGAGCAGTCTTCCACTAGGGAACTCCTGATCACAGGTAGACGTGGTCCTATCTAAAACAACGTTGCTATCTGGGCGAGGTGAGAAGTCTCATTCGCAAAGTAGGTAGTTGTGCAAGTCTTTAAATAATGTTAGGATGGCATGTATAGCGGAAACGGCACAATGATCGAGTGTATCAAAGTGACGGTCCAACTTAAATGCAGAGATTGATTCTATCTGGCAGAGGGGACGGTTTGCTCGTTTATTTACTAAAGGTAACCTAGCTAGCTCAGGTGATAGAATGCTCGAGTCGCGAAACGTCGCCGTTTATATACCCGTCAACGGTAGGCCAGGGGGCCTGAGAGGTGCGGAAGAATTGAGCGTCGCGATGCCTACGAATTGCTATTACTTGATATCTAAGGTTACTCGGGTTAGCGGGATCTTATTATTACCGCGATACGAATATCCCCGGATGTATAGGTTACAATACATAACGTATATAGATATAGCACGTATACACAATTCCAATATTCAAGGTAGACACTGCAAATTCTACTTGTTTCCAGCCGTGAACTTGTGGGGGTTCTTTGCTTTCCTGGGAGTCTCTCGGATCTTCTCTCTCTCTCTCTCTCTTCTCTCTCTTCATCCCCTTCGACATTGAATAACGTTACGTTAGCGCGTAGCATGATATGTTTGCACGCACGGCTGTCCGCCCCCTGCGCCGCGGCGGCATCTCAGAGAGGCAATAGGCACTCACGAGGAGTCACGAAGAGTCACGAAGAGAATTACCGAAAGAAGTCGAGTCCAAGACTTGGGTAAACAGAAGAGTCAGTTTTCGCACCGTACTCCGTTCTCATCTTCCTCCGCAGCATCTTCCACGGATCCATCATCTCCTTGGTAACCACCTCCAGATATTTTTTTTTTATTTCTCACATATACCATATACCGTCACTACGTTTATCGTGCTCTATACATGGACATCCAGATACTGTAACTCTCTTCATGGCGTTAAGATGCTGGCGCCATGTTTCCAACACCTCACATACGTTACGTACGTGGGATCCCTTACACACATTGTACGGATCTTATAGATCGGCCTTAACTCGACTTCCGTATCTCGTGGGAGAGTCTTGTACCGTGGTTCGGTGGTCCAGCTGTTATGGATGCTGGGTATCCACTAAGGAGGAGGATCTCCAAACGGTGGAACGTCGTCGTGGTTTACACGTCGAGTACTCCGTGGAAGCCTGGTTTTACGATCGCGTTTCTATGCTAATCGCAGGGCGTAAACGCTGGTATTTTCGTGGCCTGTGAATTCCGCGCGAGGCGACCGATCGCCGGTACCAGTTGAAACGATAACTCCTCTTTCTCTTTTATGATCTTTTTCATCTCGTATACTCGACTACACACTTTTTCAGACTTGCGTCCTTGTTCCGCTCTCTTCCTATCGGTAGACCACGTGCCATCTTCAGTCTCACGTATATACGATACTCAGCTATAGGTACTCGCACGGCTGTACTTACGCCATGGGGAGCAACGGGGCTGCTGTGTGTTAACGTAATTAAGTGTGACCTTTCCGAGGTCTTGGTTGAAGATGGTCATCTCCTGCGAAGGTAATGGAAGCACTAATTGGTTGTAGGGCAGCAATGCACGTGTCTTCATTATCCACCCTGTTGATCAGACACGGCCAAGTGTCTCGGGATGCTGCGAGTGTAACGCTCGGTGGTGATCTCGAGGAGGTGCGATAAGGGAATCTTGCGTAATTTATCAGTGGTTCCAGGAAAGGATTCTGGGAAAGTGAGAAAATATTTTCTGGATGGCATTACAATTTTGATTACTTTTTTTTTTTCGAGTGGACCCCTTTTTTTTACTGGTGACAAAAAGAAAAAGTTGGAAAATTCGAAGACGAGGAGCGCGGGCCTTATTAGGACTTTGCCGTGAATGATCTTGAACGATCTGATAGCCGGATAAGGCCGAGTGCCTATTATTCGGCATAGCTCTCATTCTTCGAGGCGTTACCAAATATTTCGAAATTCTCGTACCGACCTCTCTTTATCGCTCTGCTATGGAATTTAATTATTCTAGTTACAGCCTGTGATTACCACGTCCGCCAGTAAACCAGACTTCACCTGTCGTAGCTTTGATCCGCTCCTGAGATTACCGTACTGCTTGGTTCCCATTTAACTCGCGACGGGGACCACGCTTCTGGTTCGATGTAAAGACGTCTGGACCCTATCGTACCTTTAGGTGTTAATGATAGGGTCACTATACGCGCACGTAGTACATAACAAGAGCACAGCCTCCTTTGGTTCCTTCGCTTCGTTCCTTTCGATGTATCGTAGCTCTCATAACGCCGGCCACGCATAACCACAGTCATATCAGTGGTTCTCGATTGGGCCTCAGAGGAGAAAAATTTTGTAAAATTTCTATAACGCCAAAAAAAATTAACTTCCCAAAAATCAAACCCCCTTCGCGTCGATGGTACCTCGAACAGGGCCTTATTTCAAAAATACGGTCATTCGTATTAAAAAAATATATATTTTCATAAAAATTCATTTTTCAAACAGTTGCGAACCAAGAATCGCACGAGATTCAATGGCGCACCGCGAGAACACGTAGAAGTTATATATGGGAGCCCATTCTTCTCTTTCTTGAGTCCACGGCGTTATCCGCAAGGCCCACCGATAGGTCCCTCCCACCGGTCATTATCGAGGGTAATCGTGCCTAAAAGCCGGTGCCCGCTTTTGATTAAAATTGGCTTTTAATTCATTTGGCAGCCTCTAATCTCGCGGCGGCATTGATCAGAGGACTTGGTAGCGTGGACTGCCGGCGTCCGAGGTGCGAGCGGGTATGCGAGAGTAGAATCATGAATAAATTCCTGCGAAGCGTTTTCATCGTAAAACATAATGCCAATCGCTTTCAACGATGCGCGTGTACGTTCAAGTCGTGTGAACATTTTTAACCAGGTCGACTCGAAATGCCTTTTTCTTCTATGTATTTTTCAATGAGACATAAAAACGACAAGTAATACGAAAAGATGTATAAAATTTTATAGCATCACCCCGTACCACCACCCAATCCATGATGCAGTCGGGTACTATGCTGAAATATGTATCACGCCGGAGCCAATACGAGCTGCCATTATTTTATTCACATATAGAAACCATTTTACCTTTATTAACGAGAACTGTCGCCGTTATCGTAGACGCCCCGAACTTCGTCTCGATCGCATGGTCGTTGTGCAACAGAGCGGAAGTTGGCAAACGGTAACTGGAGCAAGGAAACTGTCTGGTATCACGCAAACCCTACGAGGAATACACGTACGTGGACGATATCGAGTATGGAGAAAGACACGTTAAAGTTCGGAGGTTACGAGTGGGAAAGTATCTGTTGGTTGGACGTGAGAATCGAAGGCGGGAAATTCAAACTGATATACGTTATTCGAAATACGTTATAGGATAAAAAAGATTATTTTTTTTTTAAATAACGTAAATTCGAGCTTCTTCAAAATTATCACCAGGTGCCGTCTTGAATTTTAGTAATGGCCGCTCAAAGACTCAATGGAGAAACTTGCGAGAAATCTTTCCAGCTTGGACAGGGACCATTCCGGTAGCGCACGATCGAGTTAATTGCATCTCGTGACCCGACGGGTCGTGAAGATAGCGGCGGCATGCGAAGTTATCTCGATGGATCTGAACAATGGCTCCGATATTCAAATACACCCTTATCCGGTACCATTTAAATACTTAGTAGGTGGTATTTCGTTTGGGGAAAATGTATACTCACGAGATGAAAACGGTGGAACGGTCGATTTTAGAAATTGATGTAAAGTACAGTGCAACTCGTCACCTCGCATCCGAATTGGTCGTTTATACCTAATTAGGTAAAAAAAAAGGTCGATCCTGTACGTGTACCCATAAGGTACCCTTGTCGCCAACCCACCACACGTTAAACCGTACCGAACTTTCCTGGTAACCGTATACCAGTATCCAGTCGACCTAATGGCGGTTTCACTCGAAAGATTTATGGATGACTTTTTTTTGACATGAAAAAAAAATTTTGATGACAACGCAGGTGGAATTGTCAGTTGTTCGTGGTGGGATCTGTCGATCGCACCAGGGTCATCGGCCCCTTGCAGCCTGGATTCGGATATCAGATCGACTGGGATCAGTTGTGTTTCCATAAGTCTGTGATAAATAAATTTAGATAGGGAGTTATCGGCTACAAGACCTCACGGACTCCTCACCATATATATGATTCTTCAATCCTTATCCTATCGTTACCTCTGTTACTGCTATAGAGGCCTTCCCTGACTTCCTTTATTTCGCCGTCTCTTCTTTACGGCTCTTCTTACACGAAGATCTTTCTTATATGCCTCGATACGTTCTACATGGATCCCATATATATAATTCGGTTACATTTTTTTTTTTGTTTTCTGGGTAAACTTTCCTCTCGTGAATCTCGTACCGATGAGTTTCATCGTTTCAGCCCATTTCTACGTATATACCTGTACTACAGATTATCGAGAGATTTTGAGGTCACGCGTTATGGGTAGGGATTGATATTTTCATGAGATCATTGTACGATTACGATTTCCTTCTTAAGGCTAGTTTTCAATAACGGACGATACTTCCATCGAAACGAATATTAATAGTATATATATATATATATATATATATATATTTATATCTAACTTATATGCGAATCGCGTGAAGTCGACCTCCGTGTATCTTAATAAGCTGTAGCCAGGATTATATTAACGGCAATGCATATATATTTCATTTGATATTATCAATGCTTTTCGCAAACGACACAATTCCGCGGCTATGAAAACTCATCGTGTATATTCATGCGTGTAAAACGAACCGAAGGAAGCTGCGGCTCGAGCAAAAGAGCTCCTTGGAATCGGCGTCCAATCGCACGGGAGATTCAATTAATTAATGAAAGCGGCGCAATTAATTCCTGCATACTCCGGCCTCACGAGAGTTCGAGATTAAGTCCTCGTCCTCGTAGGACGAGACTGCGCGTTGAGAAAAGAGGTGAAAAAGGATAGGATGAGAGAGAGAGAGAGAGAGAGAGAGAGAGAGATATAAGGGGAGAAAAAGACATAAGGAAGAAAAGGAGCAAGAGAAGGAAGGAAAAGGGGAGAAGGAAGTTGCGCGCGGAGGCCTTTACGAGGCAGTTCGGGGACATTCTTGATTTCGATGTCGGCGAGGCTCCCGACGAGAACCACTTGAATTTAACGAGGCTTCGTCAAATGGGCCACCCTGCAGACACCAGCAGTGTCCTACGTAGCGTTTGCCGCACTCTGGTGTGGTCCGCGAATATAAGGTGACTGGGTCCGATGCGGAGGCGGTTGGCTCCGGTCCCAAACTCCTATCTATATCACCCTGTCGGCCGAATCGTGCGAACCGTTCCTCTTCTTGACGCTACCAGGGCCCACTTCAGGTGTCCGGAGGTGTAACGAAGTACCTGCCATTAGGAGGGTTACTACCTTTGCCGTGATAATTCAATAAAGAAATTCTATAAAGTAATTACGCATATCCAGAATAGATTTTGGAGAATGTTTTCCGTTTTCATCAAAGTCCAAGGCGCCATTGGCCCGACGGCATTTCGTAATTCCGGGACGGTATGATGCATCGGTGCAACGTGCACTTCGGGGTCGAGGCTCGGCGATGGCTGCTAAGTGGCAAAGCACACACCGGGTCCCGTCTGTGTCTCCTTCATTAGCACCAACTAGCCGCAGCTAGCCAGTCTTTCTTCTTGGCTAAAGCCCGAGGTATAGAGTCTTCACCGATGTAGGTACAGCTCTCGCCGTCATAAACCACAGCGAGGCAGAATATAACCTTCTTGGAAATCCCGGGAACCCTTTTCTCTAGCCCTTCGTTTCTCGGGTCCAGCATTTTTGTTTCCTTCGGTCCTTTCGACGGGAGCTGACTGTAGATAGAGAAGAGGATTCTGCCATCGGTACGGACGAATCGCACGAAGATTAATTGTACATGAGATTCCGAATCTACCGATGGATCTTAATGCGCGTCTCTTCATTTATTTCTTTGGCTTGCAGAGAAGCTGACGACGCAGTCCGAAGACTTCAGCGGGAAGCTGTACATCTTCGCGGAGAAGAGCCAACGATATATCTGTTTCAACAAACGATGGAAGCTAGTCGGATTGGTAATTATTCCTTGTTCAAGTCTTATCGAACAATCGAATCTATATCGATCCTTGTATCAATATTATCGATTGGCTTTCCCATATTAAGTTTTTCTCTAATCAGAGCTCCGTTCCGTTTGTTTTGCAGCCCAAAAAGCAGAAGAGCCCAATGTGCCAGTTCTATGAGGTCTACAACGGCTCGTACCTCAGGTACAGGAGCGTCGCGGACGGTGTCCATTACCTCGGTTTCAACAAATGGGGCAAACCCATGAGGAATCCCAATGGTCGGCAGGAGTGCTTCAACTTCATAAAGTACAATCCGCACTTCGACATCAAGCACCACAATAGCCTAGTGACGTCGAACATGGCCACCGAGCCGAGGCTCGTCGTAAGGAAGCCGGCGCTGATTCGCGCCCCGAAGAAGTTCCTCCCGTCGTCGGACGGCGGCCGAGAGACGCATCGTCACCGGCACAACCGCTGGAAGATACGCGAGGACGAAGTCAGTCCACGAAGAAGGCACGAGAGTCGTCTGCTGGAGGCGAACAAGTATTGAGCCTCGTTGCTCGCCGATCAAGACTGCCTCTCCCGCGACGTCGACGGCCGCGAGAGGACGTCCATACCGACGGAGGCAGCGCCCCGGGCCCGACGACGGCGAACGTCCTTACTATCGTCGTTAAGGACACAAGTATAGTTTGGAAGTCATCGAATCGACGCTTGACAACGACTCTCGATGACTTGGCTCGATTTCACTTTAATGATCGATCAATGTCGAGCGGGATGAAACTCGAGGTCATCCGCCATCCTGTACCGGTGAGACGCCTTCTCCGGGACACGAGCCACGTGGACGTGGGTTGCACGCGCGTCACATTGCTCGCTCGCTCGCGCGCTTGCGCAGTAGAGCCATTGCGCAGAGTAACGTAAAAATACAAGATAAGGGGGAAAAAAATGAAAAAAAAATATTCAAAGAAAGCTGTGCTAATGCTGCTATGTAGTGTGCGCGCAGTTTATTCGCAATCGTCGCGAATTTGACTGTCTCGTTTTTAGCTGTTTCCCGAACCTCGAAACCTCAACCACCCCCCGCCCTCCCACCCCAAATCTCCCCATCCCTAAGATAAATCCGTGTGTGCCGCGCATTATGTGCTGACTTATGTGTGTGTGCTTCGAACGGCAAGTTCTCATTCGGCCGTGTCCATTGCGCATGCGCGGACGCGCCACTGCTTGCGCGCATGCGTACCTGCCTTTGCGTCTAGAGTCTTACGTGGTGGACGTTACGGACGGATAGCGCGAATCTCTCGTTAGCTACGAAGGAAACAAAAAATCATTTACGTATATCTATATTGAAATCCTTTTTTTACATTAGAATAACGTATACGCTTCGTACAATGGATAAGAGAGTTCGCGAAGTGCGTCATTGACTACGTTGCTCTCGTAGTAAGTCGTGCGAAGAATTTAACAACGCGATCGGCCTCCTCGAGAAATGAAAAATTACACAAAAGTTCTCTTCCACTGCCCCAGTCCTTTCCTTCAGTCTCGCGAAACCGACCCGAGTCCTGTGAATATTTTTTAATTTTTTATCGCGAGCCTTGGTATGACGTCACTAATATTAACCGGTACGAAGCATTACTTCAAAAACGAGGACTAATAAACGGAGGTGTACGCGAGTGCCTGTGCGTGCCTGCTGCGTGTCTGCACTGCGCGCGTAATGCGCATGCGCATCAATTTTCGCGGCCGAGCGTGTTTGCGTGTGCTTCGGACCCCCGTGCGAACGTTGCGAGTGCGTGTAATATACTACATACTGTTAATGACTTTAATCCTTAGGATGCTATTGCAGACTGTATTACTAGGTTAGGTATGATATATATATGATATATATATATATATATATATACATATATACATATATATATATATGACGCGGTGGCGATTACGCGAATCGAAAGGAACATGGCGGCATGCTTTACGTTTCTCAGTGAATTAACGTCAATTCGTGACTCCCAATTCGCGATGTCTCGATCCGCGAATATTCCGTTAAAACGTTTCGTCGATATCGCCACCTAAGGAGCGCCTGCCCCCCCCTCCCACCCTCTTTCCCAAAATCGCTCCCTAGGTAGCTTATTTATTGAAATCATTTGTTTAGGTATTACGAGACAAACCGACCGAGAAATCCATTCTCTTTTTTCTACCCCCCCCCCATTCCTCTCTCCCTCCCCTCGTATGTATAAAAAAAATACTGCTCTCTTCCGTTCACTCTGTCTTTTTTATCTCACTTTTCGTATCCTCTGTCGTTTCATTTTTTCCCCCTCATCTTCATCTTCATTGCCATATTTTTGTCATTCCTGTCAGAGGATATTATCCTTGCATCCCACTGTCCATCCTCCATCCGCACAGTGTCCATTTTCTACCATTTCTTGTATCTTTAGACGTTAAATCTACTTTATTCTAGCCCGGTGGCCTCCACGCATCAACTGCGAAACGGCGATCAATCATTAAATCGAGTCATTATTATTTTTTTTTTTTCAATTTTTGTTCCTTTCATAGTCGCGCGTCTTTTACCGCTTTCACGAATTTTTTTATTCGCTCTCGAAACCATCCCTACATTCCTCGGTCCTTGTTCCTCGTCTCACGTAACCACGGCCTCAATCCCCTCAAACTTCCCGAGATACGAACACGCGCTTATTACCTGGAATCTGAGAATACTCAATAACTAATTAGTTTATTTCGTTTTCTTTTACAAATGGCAGTGCGTAGAGGGCCCCGGACGTGCGGTGTTTGTATGTAACGCTGAAAAGTAGAGGCAACAAAATGTGCGTAGAAATGGTCGCGTTCCGCAAGACGAATTCACCCTGTTTCATTCCTTTGTTTTTTTTCTTTTTAATTCATCGAATACATCTTGTTTAAATATATCGAAATCCATTCGCACAACGTTACAATTAAATGCTCTGATTATTTTTTTTTATTTTCAACGTCAAAATTCACTGATCAATTTTAAACGCTTTTAATACTGCAAAGGATAATGAAACGTCAAAATTTCGTGGCTCCTTGTCGGGCGGAATGCGATTCACGAGCAGGTTAGATGAAAGTCGCGCGGCAAGAAAAAAATGCAGCTGACCATAAAAACGTAAATCCGACGCTTATAATTTAATAACAGACAACTAATATAACGTGTAATGTATTGTATTGTAATATGGTATTGTAACTCCACCTCTAAAAATTAACCTACTCGTTTATATATGTAAGCATAATCTCACGACGCGTCACGAGAGACGCTTGCGTCGCGACGACGATTACTATCGAAAGCGAGATGTCGATAAAAATAAAGACTGCGCGTGAAAGTAGAATTAAAAAAGAAGCAAAAATTTCTGACCGGATATTTCAAGTGGTCGTCGGCGTGACGTCGTGGCGCAACTCGTCGCGTACAATCTCACAAAACTCACCAGTAAACCCAATGAGGAGTCGTTGGATCGAAATTCTGTCGTTCTGCGATGATTACGCCAGATCTAAAACACAAAAGAACGAAACGGATAAAGTGAAAGTTGGAAAAAAAGAAAAATGAGATAGCACCACAGAAATCGAATCAGCGACTGACATTTGGTAGAACCATCATTTTTTTACTTTTCGCCATCAAGAATCAGCGATAAAAACGAAAGAAAAATGAATCTGATTACATTAGATAGATAATATACATAATAAAAACAAAAGTAAAGTATAAATATTATATATAAATAAATATATGAAAGATGATGTGTATTGTAAGATATTTAATACTGATATAGGCACACCCAATGATATTGTAATGACGATGATGATACCAATATTCACGTTGTAACATAGTGGCGTACCTCGTTACTCACTAAATTAATGTGTCGATGTACCCGGGCGTGCTCTGATCGTGTATATCGTTTGCAAAACAAACAGAAGCATAGACACAACATCCTTATCTCCATTACAGTCTCTGTCATGAGTAGAAAATAAAACTGATATCAGTCATTCCGCAAGGATCATCAATAAATCTCAATATATTCACACCTGCAAACACAACTTCCTAATCTAAAGCCAAAGGACTTTTCCACACGCGTTCAGAGTACGTAGTTCCACAATTAGCCACAGGAGAGCGCTCGTGCAGTCTCGAACGCTGTACTGCGCATGCGCTCTTGTCAATCGAGCATTGCGCGCCCGGCAGCAGCTAGCAATAATAACATTCCAACGTAAATCGCATACTGCGAGTTATATACTGTGTGCCGCCGTACGAGAAACGAAACACTGTCAAATACACGCTCATACACTGCTAACCTTCAGTGAGTATTCATTAATTGAAATCCTTGATGAATCCTAAACCTCAACGGAGTCTGAATATATGGAGCTGGACAAATTCTACGTACAACCCAACTACAGAGGCAAGAAACAGCTGTTCTCTATGGTGAAACGTAGGATGCTTTATAACAGGTACTGTAGTTCCAATATATCGAGTACCTTTCAAGTTTGATTAGAATTCGATTTGCCGGACATCTTGAGGCCGAAAACCAATCGTCTTGAGTGAATACTAAAAACCAAAATCAAACACTTGGCTGCGGATACGTAGGCGCTTTGAGAAGCGGTCCTACTCTTTCCTTCCCTTTTCTCTTTCTAAGCCGGAGGCTACGTGGAGTCCCGAGTCTAGAGTGTAGACTGTAGACGTCCCATTCCTCGTCGTCGGGGTCATTATTTGCCGCGGTGGTTGAGAACACATTAGGTCTCTGAAGGGGTAGGGCACACACATAACGTGCGCTCTCGCTCTTGTAGCCGGCAATCCAATTCCGACCGTTGATTTCCTTGGAAGTGGGTCTCGAGGGCTCCCCAAATAATGTCAAAAATCCTCCCCAAGTGTGTCCCCCCATGCTTCGCCGCCTTTCCTTTACCTACCATCCCCTCTCTCTTCCCTTGCACTTCAGCACTGCCTGACTACCCTCTTCTTTCCCGACCATGAGGACCACGGGGACCGACCATCACCACCACCACCACCTTCTCCTCCTACTTCTTATAAGCACCCCTTCCCGTTTCCTTCTTAACGCGCCCTTGAGTGTTTGATCTGGAAATCATGAGTCTGGAGCCGACAGAGCCGTTAGATTTTAGTCAGAATTCAGTTTCATTCATGCTCACTCGTCATGCATTTATATATACATATATATAAGATGAATTTGTTCAAGATTTTAATATGAAAATTTAATTTTCTTTTCCCACGATACAACGATGTTGGATGTTGATCCCTTGTGTCAAATTTGAGAAATAATTCCAGCCGATTTATTTTTCGAAATTCTTCGAATTCATCCAGACGTAATTCGTCCTCTCTGAGAATCGGTCCGGACCCCGAACTCACTGGTGGTTCCCGTTTCTAATTAAGATCTCTCAATTAGTATATCTTATCCGGTGTTTGTTTATCGCGGGACTAACAGGCTGCCGTGAGCTTAGTCAAGCTGGTAAAGGAGCAGAAGGATGCTGCAGCGACTTTGAAGGTATATGGATACGGAGAAAATGTCCTGGGCTCAGCGATTAACTCTTTTGTCGTAAGCGCGACGCCTCCCCTCCCCCTTCGACCCTCTCGGTGAACCGTCGCGGCGCTTATTAGCGTAACGACGTGAAAAATTAACGCGTATATTAAACATGATTCCGGGAACTATCTCGATTGCCTTTACGCTCTAACGGATCGTGTCCTCGTGAAGACGTTCCTTCCGTAATACGTCAGCATCAGGAACCAGCGATGGTCGACGCGTCGTTTGCCCAAGTATTAGTCACAGCTTAGCGTCGCTTTTTCAACGAATTTCCACGCTCCGACGAACTTCCAAGGATCAGACGTTGACCTGCTCCTCTCGTCGCTTCTACAAAATCCGTAAACCTAAATCGAGAGACTAGGTCGTTTCCTTCAATTGCCAATGGTCAAACTCAAAATGTATTTCCGCACAGGAAGCGTCGGGCTCAACCAGAATGGCTTTGAGACCTGCCACTGTTGGACAATGCTGACCCCGGAAAACCCGTAAATATTCCTTCGGACAGCCCGCAGCATTGTGAATTGTGAAGACTGTCGGACACCTTTAATTGTCACAAATTCGTATGGTGAATTTATGTAGCTTCTGGGTGGCCGTTATGAGAGATGATGGAATTTTTGAAAATTTATGGAATCCGGTATCACGTACGAGGAAAGTTACTAGACAATATTCTTTTTTTTTCAGAATTGATATTTAAATCCGATTTTTTTTCCTCGTATCGTATATTATCAAGGAGACAAGTCCGGTAACCATTTATTTAAATTGATTCAACGACGTGACGTATTTCGTCGTACGTGATTCGTGTGTCGCTAACGTGAAAACAGGCCTTCGTGCTGTCAGTCGTATGGCTGTTGTTTGTATACTTGTAAGTAAACTGGTGACAGGTAAATAAGAAGAATTTAGTAGATAAGTGGAAATCTGTCTAGAGAGTGGCACTTTTCCTATTATGGTTTTATGTGAAAAGATTAGTTACCTTTGTAAAGTAATCTTAGGCAGTTTCATTAGGATCGCCCAAAGCTCGTTTGGTTACCTGAAAGGCTTCGTACGGCGAGTGGGGGGAATAAGGGGTGCGAGGGGGCATTCGTAAAATGGCTAGGACTTCGTTTACCCTTAAAACATAGTGATTAGGAGTATATTGAGTCCTCCGAGTTTCCCGCGTCTTCAACCTGCCAATTTTGTGGATCCTCCATCAATCACAATTAGAAAATTAGGAAATTAACCGATCGCCAAGAGAATAACGTATCGACTTCCTAGACTCTACTATAAAGTACCAGGGATGCTGGATGATGAGAACTATTGATTTTGCGTGTGGCCGATCAACGGTCCGAGATAAATCTTTCAGGCTGGAATTTTCTGATTGCGGACCGCCGCCGGACTTAATTGGGCCAGAGGTTCGAGTCTGCCCCCTTTTTGGTTAATCGTTCTTATCTGGCCATTATCCGTAATGGCGACGGTCCCAGACCGGAAATATTGTCGATCCTAAATGGTTACACGAGGACCTTCATGATCAGGAACAAAGGCCCGCCGACTGTTGTTTAAAGCCAACAAGACCTTCGACAGCCAAGTCCCATAAGTAGGAAAAGTCCCAAATCATAAATAAAAATTTGTGAAAAAAAAAATTACCAACTCGGGTAAATATATTCGTACAGGAACTCTCGCATTCACTTTTTTTTCCGTCTTACAAATTTCTCTTCTATCGCAATTCTAGATAGGCTTCAGTCATATTCAAGCAGCACGACGTCGATGATCAATCAAGGAACATTTTTTATTCGTCTCTCGTACATTCCTACATTCCCGATCGAGCAAGCTCATAGGAATTCACGAATCAGGTATGCCCGATACATTGGCTACGCACCTTGGCCGGCTCTATTATCGAAAAACGGCTCTTGGACGTATGTGCAAAAAATTGTAAATTCTCTTAGCCATTTAGTCGTCTGTACCAAAATCGATTAAATAACAAAACGTACGCGTCATTACGCCTGCCAATGAGATCCGAGTCTGACGCAAATCTCTCTCGCTGACTCGCCTACGTGTCCGATCGAACGGGACGATAATAAAAGTGTCGATGTCGAAGCGACTCAAGCATTCGACCACACAGGTAGCCGAGTGCGAATTTCATCAAGTGCAAAAAACGAAGGAGACAAAAAGTATCGACGGGACGCTGTTTAGTTTCGAGGTTGACTCCTATTTAATTCAATCCTCCCGTACAGTCACGCCGTGTGAGAAATTCGTATCCAAATTGTGGTAAGGCCCGACGCGATGTACCCTGAGGCCCAAAGTGAGTCCCTCGATCGCTATTGAAGCAACCGGCAAGGTGTCGGGACGTCATAAGGGCTTCGTGTAACGTGGTACAGTAGAGACAGGCAATTGTGAGCCAGTTTACGAGAGACGATAACTTAGGGCCCAACAGTGGGCCCCGGTAAAAACTAATACCCGGCAAATAACAGACATTACTTATACTTATACAGGCGATATGTGCCGTGTATAAGAGAGGAGCCCTCTTGGCCCAAGGGCCCCGCCAATATTGCATTACCCACGCATGATATATGCGTTCACTCGTTTTACACCTCTGGCCCGCTTCTGGGGCCTGTTCAAGAGGGGCTACTACGCACGTTCACCATGGGCGTTACGCACCCGAGATCCGTGATATTACGCGTGTGCGGTACACTTTGTGCCTTATGTGGGTGGGTGAGTAGCTGAGTTCGAGAAACAGAGGGAAACTCAGTGAGTGCGTATATACATATATACTCTCGAGTGTAGAGCGTCGGGACGCATATGCTTGCGGGTACGCACCTCAGTAGGTGGGTACCCAACGGGGGCACCCTTTGTGTAAACAAGAAAGGAACCCGAAGAAAGCGTCTCGCTACGTCTGGGGTCCTAAGGGACCCCGAGCGTCCCGACGCCCATGCTCCCTATGGTTCCACATACTTACAACTCGTAGCATGGAGAGAAATCACGAGCAAAAGAATTATAGAGCAACGAAGTCACTGACGTGACTGCGGAGCAAGCTCAGGAGAAACAGGATGGGCTCCTGCCTTCAAAGCGGAGGAAATACACGGTAAAAGATGGATAGGCCAGGAGAACGAAGAAGGAAGATAGCTCGGAGCAGGCGCACGAGAGAGACCAGACATGCAGGAGACGTCACGGGGCGGTCTGGCGGCTGATGATAATCATTGCAAGCACGTAGAAGCGTCGGGAGTCATAAAGCTTCCATTACGCAGGTAATAGCCTTGCCGGTATTACAATAAATACTTTATCGCACGCTTTTCAAGTTAATTGAGACATTATCGTGTATCCTTGATCGACGCGCGTAACGAAGCGTGAAGCGATCTTGCGCGGTGGGTCGATATGGTCGGGGCGGAGGGAAAAGACGTCGAGGGGAGGGATGGCGCCGGATGAAGGGTAGAAAAAGGCGGAACCGGGGTAGACCGAGGAAATTTGATGAAACCCGTGAAATTTCGTTATGGATCTCACGAAGTCACCCTATACATCGAGACTGTGTACGTTTAAAACTGAATGGTCCTGTATATGTCTTACTGGAAATTCACGAGTCATTCGGGACCCTCAGGTATTTCACTTGGAAGACACTTATTTTCAAAGGGAAAGTCAATTACGAAATCCAGCGCCCATTTCGATCTTTATCTTAATACTTATTCTCACCCTTTAATTTCCCAAAGACATTTTGGAAAAAAATGTATTTTTTTTTCTCGGTCTTTTGTATTTTGAGATTTTTTTATTTTTCCCATAGAGTATAGGAATTCTATATAACGTATTGG